CAGAAGGGTCCAGAGACTGAAGGTACAGCAGAGGGCTTACACTGAAAAAAAAATAGAGGTTGACAGAACTTACATTTTCTAGGCAACGTGATGCATTTGGTTTTTTGAGTTTTCCTTACTTAAATTCACTGTGGTTGAGTTTACAAAGATTTTTGAGTTCTGCCAACTTAGGTTTTTGGAGTGTTACATAGAAATTTTGAGTTCTACCAACTTAGGTTTTTGAGTTTCACCTTTAAGTTCTGAGTTCTATCAACTTTGTTTTATGAGTTTGACATATAGATTTTGAGTTCTACAAACTCAGATTTTGTAGTGTTATCTGCAAGTTGAGTTCTATCAACTCAGTTTTTTTAGTCCTACCAATCGTCTTCACTACCAATCATTCAACACACAAAAAATTATGTTAATACAACATTTTTATTGCTTCAAGCCAAACATTGCATAGATACAGTATAAAACCATGTTCAACAACATAATCTTAACTGCACAGATCAAAGTAACATGACACTGGACCAGAATGTTCTAGATTCGTAAGAGTGATGATGAGGGAAAAAACAGTAAGACACCATTTTAGTAAGAGGAAAACACACAGGTAATTTTTTGTGAAGTAAGTGTATTAACATATATGAAAAAATAACAGTTTTACAAATTTGGACGGCCTTCAGTTTGTTTTTTTCAATTGTAGTCTCTTTAAATTGGGTGCACCCTTTAAAAAAAAATAAAATGAAATAAAATGTCTTGTTTCCCAACGGAAAAAGAAAAAGGTTTTCCCTTTTTATCTCTGAGTTTTTCTTTTTAGTCCTACCACTCCGACAGGACGATGAATGCAAAAAAAGAAAGTCCTCTTCAGTCCAAATCCTTCTCTTCAATCCAAATCCAGATGTTCACACGGTTGGCTCGCCATCTCCATTTAAGGAGAGAATCCAGAATCCAGGGTATCCAAAAAACCCAGCCTGCATAGCACAACAGGGCTTAGTTAAATCCATTCACTTCTTGTTCTTAACTGTACAGTTTATATCTCTCCAAGTATGATAAATTTCAGTGTGTAATGTAACTTTTCTAACTCATTACGAATTAACTGCTGCATTACAGGGTTAACATATAAAATGTTAATGTCACTGTTTTTCTTGTAAAGCAAATAAAATCATGAAAGCAAAAAATCCACATGTAAATAATGTAAATAACAGTAAATACCCACATCGGATTAAGAAAGTAAAATAATGTAGTCTTGTAATATTCTGTGCCTGAGTGCAACAACACTGCACTACATAAAACAATTTAGAAATTTAATAAGTTATTACACTCAACTTAATGTCTCTTTTCATTTGTACAATGAAAATAACAGGCACACTCTTTTCTCTATGCATAAACACTCACCCGCACATGCGCGGCATAAACACGCACGCGCACATGCGCATTATACACGTGCACGTGCGCTGCTTTTCCTTTCATCAGAACGTGAAAAACATGTGAACTCATGCTTCAACTCGGTGGCAATACACCACAAGGGAATGCTAACTCACGGAGCTAACCGCTAACTGTCTGTACTTTGCAGCACTCACCGGGAAAACTGGTAAGGTCCCAGGGTCGTTCCTCCGTGGTTCTCCAGATGCATAAAATCACAATGTCCGCCAATCTTCTCAAACACGAGGGAAAAAGGCTGTGCCCTTGAAGAAAGGGATAGGAAACCCCGTACCGTAGTGGGCGTGTCCATGAACATAAGCAGTGCGCATGCCCATGAGTTTACAGTTGAGGGAACTCAAAAAATCTTGTATAGGCGATTTAAAACTCCTTGTTAAACCAACTTCTGAGAATTTGAGTTGGGCAAACGTGTATTTATTTGTTAGATGTCAAATTTATATTTCTGAGTCGGATTACAATACAATTGTGTGTTAGAACAACAATTGCCATTTACTTTTTTAACAGTGTAGCAGCGGCAGAGCTTGGCTTCAGACTAGTGAGGTTCAGACCTTGAGTTGATCTCCTAGTTCTCTCCTGAGAACTGGCTTGCTGATTCTGACAGCTGATCTTCAGGTTTGGCTTCACAGGACAGGCAGGCAGGTTTCTGACTATGAGCTCCTCCAGAGCTCCACGCTTTGATCAGGTCTTTCTAGGAAGCAGAGAAGACAAAGACTGGTTAGGATCAAGATTACCCCTCAGAGTAATCAGAGATTCAGGTATGCAGGTTCGGCTCAGGTTTGCTAACCATAACTGGTCTAACACTCTGGCCCTGAAGGGAGGTTCAGCCGCTGCTTATAAAGCTGGTGTCCTGATGAGATGATCAGCCGCAGGTGTGCTGGTGGCTTCAGCTCAGGAGACCCGGGGGCGCCCTCTGCTGGAGAAAGGTGGCAGATCTCCAGATCCCAACAATTTCTAATTTTTGCAATATTCCTCTAAATGACAGGTCCTGATCAAAAACAACACCAAGATTTTCTACTTTATTATCTGAAATCAGTTTAACCCCTCCAAATGAAGTGACTGACTAATCAGCTTCTTTTTCAACGGAAAAGAAAGAAAGTAAGAAAATCAATTAATTGATTTGGTCTGATGAAGCACGATCTTTTCTTTTTATCTCCCAGGTGATCTATGAACCTCTCTCTTCCTGCTTCATAGACTGTCATGTGTCTTATGTCGGAGGTCTTCCACAGGGGGTCCACAGAGGTACTGCATGGGTGTCATGAAAGTTTTGGTTGATTAGACTTTTTTATATTCCCCCTGTAATATTTCCAACTAATTGAAACACTTTAAATCCACATTAACATGAATTGATCAGACTGTAGTAAACAGATAAATGGAGGCAGAAGATGTCTTTCAGTTATCAATGCTCACATTCAGCCACACACATCAAGCTGGGCACCGTTTCATTCACAACACCTGTCCCATCAACCAGGAATCAGAAATACTTTAATAATACCAGGGAGGGATTACTTTAGTTACATTACTCCATCTTTAATAGAGTGACTGTAGCACCAGTTTGATAGAACACTATCTAACATTATATATCAGTATTCCTTAGCCTGGTAAACATTGAAGAACCCTGGATTATGTATTATATACAGTAATTTCTAAGCAGAGTGTTTCCAAATAAAAGTCAATCATGGTGTAAAGTAACGAAGATTGTTTATTATTGGATACATGGACAATGGGTGTGTTCCTGGAATGGGTCCTTAGAAGTCTGTGAAACTGGACGCCGTTAGAGTTTGGCCATAGACTGGAAGAGGTCCAACCCTTGCCGCTCTCCACCACCCCTCACTCAGCGTATGCTCTCTCACCTAGAAACTGTTGTTGCAACACCCCCTAGTGACGAGAGGGAGATTTTTAAAGACTGCATAAGAGGTACTTTTATAAGTAATTATAAGCACAACTTATACATTTGAGCAAAGTATTTTGTCTTTTTTATTTTACTATGATGTGTATTTAAATTTTAATTTAATCATTTTGAGACCTAATCAACACAAGTTCATAGAAGTTATGTTGTCACGGCAACGTCCAGCAAGCTAGTGGTGGTAGACAAATGAGGTTTCCCGCTCATAATCTGATGAGAGAAACGGGGAGGAAATATGGCACAGACACACCTTTCTCATTTTTAGGAAAAACCACCAGCAGTGAAGAAGAACACTGGAGACAAGAAAACAGAGAGTTCAGAATCAGAGCATGGTGCCGCCACACACTTTCATACACCTGCAGTTTAACGTAACAATAGTATTTTAGAAAGTGTTATTTTACTCTTTGATCTATTTTGATCTTGTGTTCTTTGTGTAATGGAGAACTTTTCAATAATATAAAAATAATAATAATATATAAAATATATAAATATATAAAAAATAATAATAATAATATAATTATTTCCTTGTGGTTTGCATAAAAGGATTTTGGAGCTAATAGAGGCAGGTTTGACATGAACTCAGTGACTCAGGTTCCTCCCAGCTGACCAAATCTACCTGTTATAGTGTTATTGCTAAGTTTAACTAACAGTGCATTTATTCACCTGAGAACTGATGATGTCTTTGTGTTACAGACCTTGGTTGCGTGCATTGAAGTGTATATAATTATAAAATAGTAAATCTCAATCTATTTACTTTGTTTTTTATTGTATTATAAATAGGCCAATAAGCTCAGATCTTCTAACAAAACCTTCACAGCCCCCCCTGTTCAAAATGACTTCCAGCAGCCCTGGTTCTGGGTGCTAATAACATTTCTGAGGAGCTTCAGCAGCAGTACCGTCGTCTCAGGTATCCGATTTATATTCCCCACACTGCACAGGTATTAGAATCTGAGCTTAAATGTCGGCCAAAGCCATTAACACAGGGACAGATAAACCAAACATTACCGCCACATATCTGACTCAATTACCATTAAAACAACTATTTGCATTCATTTCAGACAGAATTATTCACAGACTGAATTATATTAAACTGCACTTCAAATATTTACCACTGTTCAGCGCCATTTTTGTCTGAGCACAAAGTAGCCGGTTTTCTGTCAGATGAGCACATCCTGTCAGACCAGCATACCCATAGTCAATAACCATTTATCCCTTTAGTTTATCCCTTTAGTTTTGTATGAAAAATAAACGTTCAACGAGAGTGTGTCCCTTTATGAATGCATGAAAAAATGTATTACTTACTTTTTGGTGTTCTTAAAAGCGTATGGCCATCTGACCTTAAATATTTGTTTTTTTTTACTTTGCTAAAGGGATAGAGAAGGACCTCGCTGCAGCAAACAGAAAGGGGCGGGGACGGACCTTTCCGTCAGTCCCATACCTTATTTGGAAATGGAACTATTGCATTCCGGAAATGAAGGGGGCGCTATTTTCATAATCACTAGTATAAATGCCTTAAAGACGCTGTAGGTAAAATTCATCACTTTGTTGTTTTAAGTCATAGAATTTGTATTATGTCCATTCACAGTGTACTTTTGTTCTATGCTTATTTTTTTAAGTCTGAAAGAAAATCAAGATAGAAGAATTAAAAGGGTTGAAGCAGTTTTGATGTTATTTGGATTTGCATTCATCTTTCACTTAGAACATATCTGTATTTTTACAGACTCTGTGTGCTGATGACCACACCTATGCCAAAGGAGCCGAGGCACAAATTGAGGTTCATTTTTTAAATTTACACATAACTAGTAATTTTGATTTGTGTATCTTTATGTGCAAATGAGACTAAAACCCTAAATGATTTTTTTTTTATTTTTTTTTTTATTAAAATTCATTATTTGGACAACTTTTTTTTATATCATTAGAGATGAAAGGATAAGATACTGAGAGATATAAAGTATTAATTATTGTTTAATGCTCTTCACCATGCAGGTAGAAAGGATACCGCCAATCTTACAGGTAAGATTCATTCATAATCATATGTATCATCCATTCTTCCTGTATTACAGTCTTGCAATGCACCTGTTTTTTATTTTGTTTGTTTTTTTATTTTTTTATTTTCAGATGCAGAGGAGAGGAGAGTACCCTCGTTACTACTGTGATGGCATACCTGGACTTTGCCCTGAGTGCCAACATTGAATTCAAAGAAAATATAAGTTGCTTTCCACAATCTGTCACATATTGTTAGTTTTTTTTGTGACATGCCATTTGAAATCGTTTCTGATAAAGAATATTTACCTTTTGACTTGTGCAGTCCTCCTTTTTCATAATGTGTTCTTTCAATATTATTTAAATTTTTGAAAGTTCCTTTTGTTGTAGCTCAGTTGATTTACATCATTTAGTTTTCATAGAAATGGTGTCGTTTCCACAAAGTTACATTGTGGCTGTAATTTGTTGGAGAGACAGTAGAACCAATAAAGTAGTTGTAAATATATTGTAACAGCGTTGTTTAACAATTGGAAAATTTTAAATGCAAGCAAAGCTAATAACTTGCAATATACAATGTTTCCTATACATTTTTGAACAATGACTGGAATCAATCTAAATTTTCTTTACAAACCTGACCTACAGACAAGTTGTTTATGTTTTAACAGTTAGAATCAACTTGTTTTATGTAATAAAAAATAAGTTGCAGAAACATTGTTCAGATACAAACATAAGATTAAACGAGCAAAGCGAAGGTGTAATCAGGGTGGAGGTGATGGAAGCTCAGGTGAGGAGCAGTTGCACACATCAAGCTGGACTTTATGAAGGGTGAAGGACTTGAGACCGGCGCCGTTAGGCTGGGAGGGAGGCACCTGAGCAGGTGATTGGCTGAGCAGGTGAGATGAAGACAGACTTTATTCAAAAAGGTTTTCATGTAGAAAAAAGATCATTCTCTCTGGTGGTTACCAGTACAGTGTCTACTGCCGGGATCAGAAAGTTGAAGATTATTGTCAAATGAACTTTCTAAAACCTACTTTCTGTGCGAGTCTTTCCAGGTTGAAGCTACATTTAAGGTTTTAATTAATCACTTTGGGTTTTGCTACAATTGGATATTCATGTTTTTGGAGTGCAGTTTATGAATTTATTGCAATTGATAAAATTACTATGGTATTTCTAAATGGAATAGTGGGACACCAGTCAGTTTACTAGTTGAGCTGGAGTCCTTATAGGAGACATTATGGTCAATAATGATAATAATTGAGCCAGGTCACCTGCAACCAAGTATATTCTAGTTACCGAATGGCACTTGTTAAAAGTTCAAAAGTCCTTTGGTTTGTTTGTAAATTATATTCACAATGAGAATAATAAGAAAAAATATTTATTTTTTTTATTTGTTTATTTGACAGGGACAGTACAATTAAACATTGCAACCAAACAGGTGGCCGATGTCCAAGTACATAAGGCTTGTAGCCATGGGCTAATTTGCAGCCTTCGTCCCTGGTTAGGCTTTTAAAAGGTGTTAGCATTGAGGGGGAGGGAGGTTAATAACGACACACAAATGCATAAAAAAAAACAAAAACAAAAAAAAAAACAAGAGCAGTTAAAACAAAAATGTACAGTACAAGCCAGTTTAGTGCTCACACTCTTGTTTGTCTTTGAGCCATTTTTTCAATCTTGTGGAGAAAAGTCGAATATCAGTCTGTGACTGAAGCTCCAGAGGCAAAGAGTTCCAGAGATGTGATGCTTTCACTGAGAAGGCCGACTGACCCATAGATGTCCGACATCTTTTAATCCTGCAGTTCCCCATAGCTCCAGCTCTTGTCCTGATTCCTTCATTTGCATACTTTAAAACAAATTTACAGATTACCTCAGGGGCAAGACCATTAAGGCATTTAAAAATAGCTTTTAAAAATGAGAAATTTATAAAATTTTCAAATGTCATCATATTGTGTTTTTTAATAATTTTGCAGTGATGCCACTTCACTGGTTTTTGATTGAATATTTTTAATGCTTGCTTGTGAAGTGAGAGTAAAGGTTTTAAAACAGACTTTGTGGCCTGGGCCCAAACGATGGCGCAATAAGACATATGGGATAAAATCATTGCATGTAAATATACTTGTGCAGCTATATTTATTTGGCAAATAAAAAACAATATTGCACCGTGAATGGACGTACTAAGTTGGCCAAAATTGTCGACTAAATGTTTTACAGACCAAATCTCTTTTCCATCTAGTTCTTATTAAATAAGCCAAAGGCTATTATATTTTAGATTTTAACTTATTTATTTTAAGAGTACCATTCACAACAACAAAATATATTATGTGAACTTCAGCACCAGCATGTATTTGTTTATATCTGTTTTCTTAATCAGCGATGGACTGGGGATCTGTCCAGGGTCAGCAGCCTTCATGACCCCACTTGAGGATAATTCATAAAAATTAATGGATGGATAAATGTGCTCTTAATGTAATGTACATTTGTCTCCAAAATATTGATTTTATTTTATTTTTTATTACTTTTGTTAGAGATATATAGGGTGTAAGGATAGATAAATACATCTCCATAATGATTCCTTATTGTTGCTTATTTTAGATAGTTTGTTACTAAGATAATTTTAAATAAAGATTTCAAAATAAAAAAGGGACATGCCACGTGACATATCACGTTTTGTAGCCATTTCTTTACTGTTTAATTAGTATTTTTAATGTTGAAAGTGTTCTTGGGTGTTTTGAAAGGCGTTGTCAAATAAAATACGTTATTATTATTATAATTATTATGAAACGGTGGGTACAGGAAATAGTGTCACTAGCGCCCCCGTCAGTTCCGGAATGAAATGGTCCCATTTCCATATAAGGTATGAGACTGACAGTGGTCCGTCCCCACCCCTTTCTGCTTGCTGCAGCGAAGTGTACTTCAAGGGATAAACGCCTGTCTTGGTAGTTTAAAGTTTATTTTTCGTACAAACCTAAAGGGATAAACGTAAATCTGACGTCTTCCAGATGCGTATTGACTATAGGTATGCTGGTCTGACAGAACACTGGCTTGCTTGGACCCTCAATGAATCACGGGATACTCAAGGCTATGTGGGATCAGCAGAGGTGTCCTTTAAATCCAGCAAAAACAAGGATGCATTTGTCGGCTACATAACGAGGAGTCTCTCCAAATCGAACAGACCTCGGTGCTGCACTGTGACGTAAGCCGCCCATGTATCTGGCCCTCGGAGGACACAGATGCCGGGTTCGAACTCACCTACTGTCCGGTGCTGTTTTTTTGTTTGCTTTACCTACTCCTGCCCTTTAACAGGAAAGGGTTTACCATGTCTGATGAGGAAGATGGAAGCTTTAAGGCTGCATCCAGCCGGAAGCTCAATGATCTTCATCAGAATTTGGAGAAGAGACTGAATAGCAGTCTAAGGCAGTTGTTCTCAATCCGTCCTGGTCCTCAAGAACCACTGTCCTGGAAGTAATAGATTTTTCCTCGCTGCCACACACCTGACTTATTTAATTAAATGATTAACAGACTTTTACAGCACTTGAAGGCTGCTAAGGAGGTCATGTAATTATTTGAATCAGATGTGCTGCTGCAGAGAAACATTTAAAACAAGCAGGGTATTAGTGGTTAAAGAAACAGGCTTTAGAACGACTGGTTTAAGGCATCTGCACATCTAGGAGAGAAGTTCACCTTCATGTGATCCAGACGGAACAAGTCCTGAACTTTAAAAAATGGTTTTAATTGCAATTGCAAAATTTCACACATGATCATTCTATGGTTGATGCATTGTGAACTCAGCCAAACTTATAGCACATTTATTTCAAAATGCCCGGTTTATCTACCACCGCCAACAAAATCACACATGCGCGAGAAACTGCCGCTTCAAGTGGAGAAAATCGCTCTCTGGGTGCACCATCTACTCCTAGGCGCCCTTGGGTTCTCACCGTGCATATGATTTTCTATCTAGGGGCCACGTTATAGGACGGCTGCGTTCTCAAAGGTCTCAAAAAGTGTGTGTTCATATGTATAGATATGTAATTTATATTGGTCTCAATCTGATAAAAAAAATTAAAAGCATGCAGTTTGTAACAAATATAGACCAATAAATCAGCAAGAATTCAAGACTTCAAACCCTGCTTACAGTAGTTTTCTGGGGGATCTTGCAATATTATAAAATCATAGCATTAGATTTGAACAATGTGAGGTTGAATTGGAGCACAGTTTTACCAAGCAAACATCATATATAAAAGAATGAGAAGAGTCAGTTTAGAGATGCAAAAGCACTTAAATTTATGAAAAATCTACACTGAAAACAAAATCTTCAGATCTATCATATCCCATGCTAAAAGAGATGTTCAGTCATATTCTGTCACCATTTGTATGGAGGTTGGTTGAGGACCCAAATGCAGAGGCCAGAAGGTAGAGTTGAAACTTTGCTGGAATATAATGGAAAATAAACCAAAGATCAACAAAACAGAATAACTGAAAACTAAAAACTCAGTGTCTCAAAATGGGAGAGCCATGACATTTAGAATTCAAACTTCTGAAAGTTCTTTAAATCTGAAATGATTCCATCCTGTTCAATAAATGATAAATAATTTTCATGTGAATGTGCTTTACTGGAGGCATCCATGTTTGTCAAAGAACACTACTGCCACCTACTGGTTAGTGACGTCACGGTGCGGTATCGGCTGTTGATCAAGTCCCAGTGCTGTATCTGGTGTTTGTCACAACGCGCTATTATCCAAGTCATCTTGAAAACATTCTTCTTCCAAATGTTGGCTACATATTACGGGTTTTTTCTCTGGCCAGAAGTTCGATGGCAAATCCTCCCTCTTCAAGTTGGCGATCCAACGACCAACCCGTCCGTGGAGGATCAGGAATCAGAAAGGTGGAATAACTCTTTTTTCACTTTTACCCGATGTATTCCAGCATCCAGCTGCCATGCACGTGGGCATTGTCAGTTTCACTATAGCTCTGGTGAATTTCAATGGTGAAGTCCTCTGGAAATCTTCAATAATTGTTGTTGATTGCAGATGTGTCTAGTAGTTCCCATTGATTTAGCTTGGAAAGCGGGGAGAATGGCGCTAGGCTTACCGCACCGTGACGCCACTGCTGGAAGATGGCAGGAGGGAGGGGCTACTATATTTGGGCAAAATGGCCGCTCTCAGACTCAGCGATGAAAAATATTGTTTTTATTTACTGATTAACTCTAAATTTGTCAAATCACTGCAAAGGTTTTAGTGTTAGGTATAAATAATAATCCACTGATTCCTGACCTGGACTTCTCCTTTAAGGGACAGTGGCCTCTGTTTATCACGTTTGATG